AGGAAGACACTGTATGCCACACTCTAAACTTTAGTTCTGAAGTAGTTTAAAAAGGGTTCCTACATATCATGAGTCATTAGCTTCTTCTTGCACAGCTCTGTAGTTAGTTCTCATAAGGATCTGATTCCAATATCACAGTCCTAGTAGTAATGTTCAAAAATTAAGTTACCTGACACATTCTCTGAGGCTCACCTGAAGTTAAGTGTGCTATAACCCTGGGCTATAGATTATACTATTCAGTGTTCCTTTTGGAAGGTCTTTCTTGGCTCTCATCACACCAATATCACCTGATCTCTCTCTTTCTTGAAGGGATGTATTTCAAAAAGGTTGCTATTAATAATCCCTCATCAAGTCTGATTCAGGCTGTTAATAGTGGTAAGAGAGAATCCAGATATTTTGGTGTGAATTAGAACAATTACTACTACTACTACACTTAAAATCAAGGCATTTTAAATAACGACAGTGTTATTCCATCTTTTAGTTACAGAATTTTAGAACAGTGCATTTGTTAATCTATGGAAGCACTGCTCCAAAAATACATATTCAATACATTTTTTTTAACTGAATCACAATACCACAATTCTAGATACAACACAAGGATTCTAAAGTGGGCTGAGAGTTATTAACAGACATAACAGTTACTATCACAGCAAACAATGGTAATGAAATGGTGTTTACAGAAAATAGATACCCAACAGTGGCTGCTCTTGCAGGTCCAAAGCAACCAGCTATATTTTTGTGCTTATTCTTTGTTCTACAGGCTTCTGCCCCTCCCCCGCTTTTTAGAAGCAGCCTGATGACCATTTAACTGTTTAGAATGCACACAGCTCCTGCCAGTTTGCCCAATGATGAGTGAAGATAACACCTGTAAGTCTACATCTCAGGGACAGGCCCCAAAAGCCACCTCAATGTCAAAATGAAGCAAGTCAGAAGAATACTTTGATCAGTTTTTAATCAAACCCAAGAAAAGCGTTCTCATGGTTAGAGCAGGAGACTGGGAGTCAGGATGAGGCCTAGCTCTGCCACCACTCATTGTTTCACCCTGAGTAAGTCTCTTGCCTCCCTGTCTGGAAAACTGGAACAGTAAAAGACCAGCCTCAAAGGGGTGTTGTGAAGGTTAGCTAATATCTGCAAGGCACTTTACAGATCTAGTGCGTCTTCTCCAAGGGCCTCAGAGTATTACACAACTTAATTTCTGGGTCTTTTCCTTTATGCAAAAGGATCTCTTACCTTCTACAGATGGGGAGAAAATAATCAAGTTGTCATACAGAAATTCTCCATATTTTATGAGGGACAGGCCAGGGTCATCAGCAGTCCTGAAGGTGAGGTCAAAGCCTCTATCTGCACCCAGAAAACAAAGATCATAGCCATGAATACTTTGACAACTTTAATTTAAAAAAAGTGTAAGACAGGTCATGCTAGAAAATGAAATAAGAGGGCCCTTAACTCAGTCTTACCCATTACAATCTAAGCATCTAGTTGCCATACTTTTTAAGGTGTCATTCAGCTGAAGAAGTGGGTTTTTTACCCACAAAAGCTTATGCCCAAATAAATCTGTTAGTCGTTAAGGTGCCACCAGACTCCTTGGGATACTTTTTAAGTTGCTACATAAAAATCTAAATCAAGCATTTTACTCTTCCACAATACACTTATTTCCTCAGTACTCCGGTGAGCACTGTTTGCAGAATTGTTCCTGTCAGTCTCCAAGCAGTGACACTTCTTGGTACTTACAATCTAATCCACAGTGCTCAGGGGACACGGGGACTTTTTGGACAAACCAAATTAAAAACAAACAAGAACCTCGGCGCTCTCAATAGCATTTTCATGCACGTCTTTGATGTGAATCAAGCCCTGATAAAACTTGTGGATGATGTGAACACCAGAGAGGGAAACACGCACAGGAAAGAAGCAAATGCTCTAGTACAGGGGTCGGCAGCCTTTCAAATGTGGTGTGCCAAATCTTCATTTATTCACTCTAATTTAAGGTTTCACGTGCCTGTAATACATTTTAATGTTTTTAGAAGGTCTCTTACTATAAGTCTATACTATATAACTAAACTATGGTTGTATGTAAAGTAAATAAGGTTATTAAAATGTTTAAGAAGTTTCATTTAAAAATTAAATTAAAATGCAGAGCCCCCCCGGACCGGTGCTCAGGACCCGGGCAGTGTGAGTGCCACTGAAAAACGGCCATAGGTTGCCTACCCCTGGTCTAGTGAGATCTGGGCAGCAGGGGCTGCAGCCAGTAACGGGAGACGTGAGTCTAACAAACGTGACGCTCTCCAGAAGAGAGACAAGCAGCAGGCCAGGTACAGAGCAAGGGAGCATTTCCCCCACGCGTCCTTACTGACACACGTGGCACTTCCCAGTGACCAAGCCCCGCCGCCGCTGGATGGAGGATACGGGGTCCGCGTGGCACCCGGAGAGAACCAGCCCGCGAGAGGACTCCGAGCCCCTCAGCCACCCCAGGCAGGCGCACCCCTAAGTGGGGCCGGGAGCTGCACCGGGACAGTCCCAGGCTCCTCCCGGGCCTGGCCGCTCCCCCCACCCCGGGCTCCGCCGCCCTCACCCGCCAGGCTCCGGAGGAAGAGCGAGTGCGTGTCCCGCAGGTTGATGTTCTCCAGCAGCACCAGGGTGCGGGGCCCCCCGTCCGCCTGGGCCAGGCCCAGCCCGACTAGCACCAGCAGCAGGAGCCGCCCTGAGGGGAGAGCGGCCGCTGCCTCCATCTTCCTCCTAGGGGGGCCAGCCTCACCCGGAAGCGATCCTCGCCACGCTGCCAATCACCGACCCGCTCTGCCCGTAGAGGCGGGACACGCAAACCG